GATGGCAGCAGATATCTGCATGGAAAAGCTCCCAGCCACCCAAACCTTTAATGAGGACTAGAATATGGCAATAATGGAGTTGGCCCACAACGAAGACCTAGGGGTCTTTCATTAAATGAAGTTCAGTGATGCCAACACATGACTGCCTACGCCAGGTCCCACAGCAGGGCTTTTGCCACTGTGGGATTTTGGCTGCAGCCGTTGGCTTCTGCTGTTGAATTCCCCAGCTTTGTTTCATAGACAGCTGCAGCTGCCTCCAGTTGGCTTTAATTCCAATGTCATGCCAATGTAGACAGCAGCATTTCCGCATCATGTAGCCCTAAACATGAAAACTAAATGTATCTATGCTGCTTTAAGTATAAGAATTCTCACATAAGCGTATTTGATTCTTGTGGTGTATATGTGATCTTTGCATAGGCATATTTAAAGCTAATGTCTACTGCAGGAAGGTAAAATTATTATGTATATGATGTCAAAGCTTGGGTAACCTTTACACTGCGATGAAAATATATGGGATGACTTTCATAATTCTGTATTCAATAGCAGTGGACAGGACTTTGTCAACACTCGCACTGATAAGAGGCAGTCATCAAGACAAATTATTTTTTAATTAAATAAATAATTGCATTAGAAAAAAGTAAATTTAAGCCCACATGATAAATAATCTCATTACATTTCCACTTGTGGGTATTCATTCATCAGCACGATCTGAATTTTATGTATGTAAAACATGGGTAGTAACCATTTCTAGACTTGAAGCCCTTTGAAGACAGGGAGTAGCTCATTGTTTGAGTTTCTCCTAAGATACAGGAAAAAACTGAATCTAAACAACACAACGAACTTGTTGGTCATAATATATAGCACTGCGCTGTCATTGTTTGGTTAGTACCTTAGTCCTGGGCATATGATTAGAGACAAAAAGGCACAACCCCTAATTCCAAAGAACCTCATCAAAGAGATTTATTATTATTATTAAACTTTTAAGTTTAGGGGTACAAATGCAGGTTTGTTACATAGATAAACTTGTGTCATGGGGGTTTGTTATACAGATTATTGCATCACCTGGGTATTAAGCCTATTATCAATTTCTTTCCTGATGCTCTCCCTCCTCCCACCCTCCACCTTCCAACAGACCCCAGTGTGTGTTGTTTCCCTCTGTGTTCATGTGTTCTCATCATTTAACTCCCACTTATAAGTCAGAACGTCGTATTTGGTTTTCGGTTCCTGTGTCAGTTTGCTAAGGATAATGACCTCCAGCTCTCCCATGTCCCTGCAAAGGATGTGATTATTTGCATATGCTATGACTAGGGTATAAAGAAAGGAAAACAGAACACTCTGTGAGATCAGAGTATAGTACTCATTCAACCGCAAGCTGGAGTGGTGAGAAAGAAAAACAGTAGGGAAGATATTCTATTATAGACAGGGCCCCTGTTTTCTAGTTGCAAATAATTTTGCTGTGGAGACTGTATTAACCCACAAAACAAGGAACTGTAAAGAAGTACAAACTTAAATGTTGAATTTTAAATAGGAGTTCCTTGTTATATAAAGAGTTCAAAGAAAAGATCAGAACTTTTGACACCCAGCCAGAATAATCCAGAAAATCCCCTGGAGAAAGAGGGTCTGGAAGTATTACTGTCCACTGCCCCATTTAAAACTTGATGGTGAGCCCCATCATGTAATGTCCCTGTTGTTAAAATGTCTCTTAGTTGTGTGATCATTTTCTAGCTCTGTGTTTTTCAAGAAAGCTATTTTGACATAGAACAGTATTAGATTTGTTTTGACCACATGTTTTATTATAGCTCCAGGCCATTACATTAGCAGTGTTACTACATTTGCCTTCTATTAATAGATGCTCATTAGTGGCACTTCCATTAACTAATTTCGGGATTATACTAAAAGCTACCAAGTAATCTTTTAGATCATTCATTAGCAGTTGGATGCCTGCATTTGCTACTCTTACGGACATTCAAGTGTGTACACATTAGTCAAAGATGCTTCCACTTCATCTCTGAAGGAAACAAAATGTAAGTCTGTCTAATACCTACACTGTGGGCTCTTCTCTCCTGCCCCTAGAGTGGAGGGGAGCAAGGTGGAAGAATCCAGACCCTTTCCAGAATCCTGAGTGACTGTAGTTCCCTCCTTTGTAGAAGAAGGATTTAGAGGCAAGATCTTACAGATGTGTAAGATCTGTGTACAGAAGCCAGATTATTCTCAAGTACCTTGGCATTCTAGACTTTCCCAGTGCCTAAGCAGATGCATGATTCCTGCATACAGTCTATACATTTCCAAGCCTTCATTATTGTTTCTTATGGACCACAATGCTGACCCTAGAAATCATGGAAGTTTGCAGCACAATGAATATACATGCCATGTAATGCATCCAAACCTCTAGCCTCTCTTGAGCCTTGGAGCATTATGTAATTACAGAGAAGTTGCACAAATCCAGCAAGGCTCAGTTTGAGCAATTACACGGTAATAATAGAGCCAGACCAATTTGCCATCCTTTGCCCTTCCCATTGCCCAGCAGGCTCCCCTGTGCTTGTGAAGTAGCTGTCATAGCAAGGCCCGACTTTTAGAGGGAAAGCAATAAAACCAACTGTCATCTCATGTAATGTAAAATAGGTAAGTTATCCAGACTAATTGGAAGCAAAGCTGGCTTGAGAATTCATCATAAGCCTGTGTGGAAAAAAGTATTGTTTACCATCTTATTTGCTTGCTTGCTAAGCTAGTAGAGCTCACCAATTATGTAAAAGCATCAGAATTGTCTGCAAAGCAATGTATAAATAGAGCAACTCTAACGCTGAAGCTTGCCATTCAAGTGATAAACATGCTTGTCTGTGTCTAGCAGCTCATAAAATTACACCAGAGGAATCTGTTTATCCAAGTGAGGCCAAGGTAAAGTGTGATGCTTAAGTTGTGGTGTCACCAAAAGGCAACTTTGGGAGGGGCTTTCACCTCCCCATCTGTTTCCATCAGCTACCCCAACCCCCACTGGAACACTGTCTAAGAAAAAATAAAGGATTTAATAGACATAGGCAAGCGCAGCTTTAAGATTAAGTTCCCTGTTTTAACCTGATTTCCATCCTGAGCCCTTTACACAGAAATTAGGCATCCTTTATTGGGTGCAAGAGAGATTCTGCAAGATTCATTATAGTCTTTAACTCCATCCCACCTCTAGTGCCTTTTCCCCAGTCACCACATTCTTTTGTTTAAATAAAAAAAGAAAGAAGAGAATAGGACAAATGCCATTGTCTAGCCAAGAGAAACTATTAGTAGTCATTAATATGGTAAAAAGAACTAGCACATAGATGAGTACCCACTGTGTGCCAAATACTATTTTAAATACCTTATGTATACTTCCTTATTGAATATTCAAATTCAATGTGAGATACTTTATCATTTTATGGAAATGAAAGCTTAGCAAGGTAGTATGCTCACAGTCACATGACTAGCCAGAATTAAAGCCACTGGCATGCAAACTCCTATGCTGTTTGCTGTATACCCTGCTTGACAGTAAGTAGATTCCTTGGTTTCTTTTGGACCAGTCACTCAGAAGATAAAGTGGGATACAGTTGGAAATCCTATAGTTACTCAAAACCTAAGACTTCAACCCTTCAGGAAAGCTGTTGTGTTAAATAGAAAAACTAAGAAACCAGAAATGATAGGTCCGAGTTCTATCCCTTGATCAGTCAAACATGAACTTTACTCTCACCTGCTACGGAAGATGAGACAGTATTCCTACTTCAGGAGTTGTAAAAATTAAGCAAATCTCAAGCCTGATAATAAGTATCTGTTCATATCCTTTGCCCACTTTCTGATGGGGTTGTTTTTTTCTTATAAATTTGTTTAAGTTGTTTGTTTGTAGATTCTGGATATTAGCCCTTTGTCAGATGGACAGATTGCAACTCATCTTCCGCAGAAGATGGGGCAATATTCCTACTTGAGTTGTAAAACTTAAGCAAATTTTAAGCCTAATAACTCAGAATCACTTGTGCAGCTTTAAAAATGTCACTTGCCTAGCTCTAACTCAAAGCCTAAGGAATCAGTTTGTCTAGTGGGTGATGGGTTGAAGTAGGTAGGCAATTATGTGTTTCTTTCATTTCCATGGATGATGGAGCTGCAGAGCCATAGTAACCATGGATCAGATGAGGTATGTGAACCTCAAGCCACTTAGCATAGTGCCAAGAACACATTAAATCATTCTTACTCTCCAGCTATGACGTCTGTATTATCTCCCTGGTATTCTGCCTCTTTTCTCACAAAATGATGGAAATGTATCGCTTGGGAACCTCCAGTTCTAAATAGTGTAATAATTAGGGGCTTTGGGGATGACCAGATTCCAAGAAAATCTTATGAGAGACAAAGTACATTGTTGGCCTCTCTGACTCTGCCTCTTGAAGCCTTTTAATAGGGCCTCTGTCTTTTTAAACCTCCCCAGGACTCCAACCCATACTAGACAGCCTCATCTCATCCCAGGCATATACCTTTGCTATTCAATTAAAAGAGTATGGTTTTAAATATAGCATAGTATTAAAAGAGGTTTGCCCTGTTTCTGTAACCATCAGAATCACTTATGCTAAGTAATTGGCTAAAGTAATCCACCTCACTAGACAATTAGCTATCATTTCCCTGCCGAATAACATCATGTATGAGTCCCTACGAAGTGAAAATTCCAGGCCTTTTAATATAGCTGTGGTGGATGTAGTCATGGCTACACCATGCTGGGCCCACATCACTTATATAGCTACTTATGTCATTTTAGGGCAAGGTCTGCTCTGATTTTTGGAGGCTCCTCCTGCTTTGTCTCTCACGGTTACAGAAACAGGGCAAACCTCTTGCTTATCCTCCCCAACTTCTCCTATTATAAATTAGAACATGATCACTTCTAATACACTGACAATCCAGCAGATTAGGGAAAAAGCAGTTCTTGTGATTTAAAAAAAAAAAAAGTTACTTAATTGAAGTGAATCAGATATTTGTCATTTGTATGTGTGACTTACTGCTTTCTGTTTGCTGTCCTGAGCCCAACATCTAGTATTGTGATATTGTGACATGGTTTTCAACAGAGCACGAGAAACTAGTTGCAAATTGGTCTTTTTTACCCACTAGTGATTTCCAAAACCTAGGGAGAAAGAAAAAGAGGTACAAGAGAGTTTTAATATTTCCCCTGGAAAAGAAATCATCCAAATAGCAATGACTAATACTTAAGACACTCAGACTTTAAAAAAAAAAAAATATATATATATATATATGTTCTGGGATGCATGTGCACTACATGCAAGTTCATTACATAGGAATACATGTGCTATGGTGGTTTGCTGTACTCATCAACCCGTCATCTACATTAGGTATTTCCCCTAATGCTATGCCTCCCTTAGTCCCCCACCCCCTGATAGGCCCTGGTGTGTGATGTTCCCCTCCCTATGTCCATGTGTTCTCAATGTTCAACTCCCACTTATGCGTGAGAACATGTGGTATTTGGTTTTCTGTTCCTGTGTTAGTTTGCTGAGAATGGTGGTTTCCAGCTTCATCCATGTCCCTGCAAGGGACATGAACTCATCCTTTTTTATGGCTGCATAGTATTCCGTGGTGTATATGTGCCATATTTTCTTAATCCAGTCTATCATTGATGGACATTTGGATTGGTTCCAACTCTTTGCTATTGTGAATAGTGCCGCAATAAACATACATGTGTATGTGTCTTTATAGTAGCATGATTTATAATCCTTTGGGTATATAACCACTAAAGGGATTGCTATGTCAAATGGTATTTCTAGTTCTAGATCCTTGAGGAATCGCCACACTTTCTTCAATAATGGTTGAACTAATTTGCACTCCTACCAACAGTGTAAAAGGGTTCCTATTTCTCCACATCCTCTCTAGCATCTGTTGTTCCCTGACTTTTTAATGATCACCATTCTAACTGGCATGAGATAGTATCTCATTGTGGCTTTGATTTGCATTTCTCTAATGACAAGTGATGATTAGCTTTTTTTATGTTTATTGGCTGCATAAATGTCTTCTTTGAGAGGTGTCTGTTCATATCCTTTGCCCACTTTTTGATGGGGCTGTTTTTTTTCTTGTAAATTTAAGTTCTTTGTAGATTCTAGATATTAGCCTTTTGTCAGATGGATAGATTGCAGTTATTTTCTCCCATTCTCTAGGTTGCCTGTTCACTCTGATAATAGTTTTTTACTGTGCAGAAGCTCCTTAATTATATCCCATTTGTCAATTTTGGCTTTTGTTGCCATTGCTTTTGGTGTTTTAGTCATGAAGTATTTGCTCATACCTATGTCCTGAATGGTATTGCCTAGGTTTTCTTCTAGGGTTTTATGGTTTTAGGTCTTATGTTGAAGTCTTCACTCCATCTTGAGTTAATTTTTGTATCAGGTCTAAGGAAGGAGTCCAGTTTCAGTTTTCTGCATATGGCTAGGCAGTTTTCCTAACACCATTTATTAAATAGGGAGTAATTTCCCCATTACTTGTTTTGGTCAGGTTTGTCAAAGATCAGATGGTTGTAGATATGTGGTATTATTTCTGAGGCGTCTGTTCTGTTCCCTTAGTCTAGATATCTGTTTTAGTACCAGTACCATGCTGTTTTGGTTACTGTAACCTTGTAGTATAGTTTGAAGTCAGGTAACATGATGCCTCCAGCTTTGTTATTTTGGCTTAGGATTGTCTTGGCTATGTGGGCTCTTTTTTGGTTCCATATGAAATTTAAAGTAGTTTTTTTCTAATGCTGTGAAGAAAGTCAATGGTAGCTTGATGGGGATAACATTGAATCTATAAATTACTTTGGGTGGTATGGCCATTTTCATGATATTGATTATTCCTATCCATGAGCATGGAATGTTCTTCCATTTGTTTGTGTCCTCTCTTATTTGCTTGAGCAGTGGAGTTCTCCTTGAAGAGGTCCTTCACATCCTTTGTAAGTTTTATTTCTAGGTATTTTATTATCTTTCTAGCAATTGTGAATGGGAGTTCACTCATGATTTGGCTTTCTTTTTGTCAATTGTTGCTATATAGGAAGGCTTGTGATTTTTGCACATTGATTTTGTATCCTGAGACTTTGCTGAAGTTGTTTATCAGCTTAAGGAGATTTGGCTGAGACTGTGGGGTTTTCTAAATATACAACCATGTCATCTGCAAACAGAGACAATTTGACTTCCTCTCTTCCTATTTGAACACCCTTTATTTCTTTCTCTTGCCTGATTGCCCTGGCCAGAACTTCCAATACTATGTTGAATAGGAGTGGGGAGAGGAGGGTATCATTGTCTTGTGCCGGTTTTCAAAGGGAATGCTTCCAGCTTTTGCCCATTCAGTATGATATTGGCTGTGGGTTTGTCATAAATAGCTCTTATTATTTTGAGATACGTTCCATCAATACCGAGATTTATTGAGAATTTTTAGCATGAAGAGGTGTTCAATTTTATCAAAGGCCTTTTCTTCATCTATTGAGATAATCTTTTTTTTTTTTTTGTCATTGGTTCTGTATATGTATTTGTGTAAGTTGAACCACCCTTGTATCCCTTGAAGCTGACTTGATTGTGGTGGATAGGGTTTTTGATGTGCTGCTGGATTCGGGTTGCCAGTATTTTATTGAGAATTTTTGCATCAATGTTCATCAGGGATATTGGCCTGAAATTGTCTTTTTTTGTTGTTGTGTCTCTGCCAGGTTTTGGTATCAGGGTGATGCTGGCCTCATAAAATGAGTTAGGGAGGAGTCCCTCTTTTTCTGTTGTTTGGAATAGTTTCAGAAGGAATGGTACCAGCTCCTCTTTGTACCTCTGGTATAATTCAGCTGTGAATCCTTCTGGTCCTGGGCTGTTTTTGGTTGATAGAACTTTTTTTTTTTTTTTTTAACAAAAATTTAACTATTAAGAAGTGGGCTTTTACTAAGCTGTTTTTCTTCCTCATCTAGTCTGAACCTGTGGCAATCTTGCATCATTCTGTAAGCATCAAGCAGCCTGTCAGGAAAAGGATGAACAAAAAAGAACTAGAAAGAGCGAGACAAACACAGAGAGCTCCAAGCCAAGAAGACTTTTCACCGCCCCCACATCCATGCCCTAAAATAGACATAAAACTGCACATGCTTATAATTCATTGGCCAGGTTAAGAGTTAGCAGAAATTAATAGCTGAGTGCTTCTTTCTTAATGGAACTACTGCTTTGTCAGGAAAATAAAACAGAAAAACTGCAAAATTAAACTAGTCTCCAGATCAGCTGGCTAGCTGGCCAGCAAGTGGCAAACAAAGTGCACAGAGATCTGTGCCCAAAGGCTGCTCAATTTAGGACCTTCCCAACAAGCACCCAAATGGTGATGATGGCTAAGCATTGAGCTTAAACATGACTCACTAATGACCTCCTTTAAAAATAGTGCTGTTCTTCCCTTGCACAAGAGGTGAAAGAGCCAAGTCAGAGATGTCTCAGCTGTCAGAGTTGGCACTCCCATGGAAGCCCAGATAGCTGTAATTTATTTTTTCTCTTTTTTCTTTCCACTTTCTTCTTCTCTCCACTGTTTGCCTCCTGCTTCTTCCTCTCATCTTTCTCCTCTTCCTTTGTTTCTTTTTCTTAAAAAAAAAAAAAAAGTCTATTCTGTTTTAGTAAAAATTATTCTCCTTTTCATGCCCATTGCTAGCCAGCTGAAAGGTCACAGGTTCACGGATATAACAAGGGCCAAGAAACTTTGGGCTCATTGACCTGAGATAAAAATTATACATAAGAAATGGAGATCTATCAATCTCAGATAAGAAAAAATCTTATTTACTTGGCATAATGTCAGTCAAATTTTGCCCTAACCAAATGTTGGCAGAAAGATACATTGATTTTCTTAAAAAAAAAAAATCCTATAGTAGGGAGGCTCTATTGGAGCTAAATCACATTTTTCAAGCAATCTCATGCATAGCAAACAAATCACATCTCTCTCATCAACTAGGAATTGCTAATTAAGATACTGATTTTATTCTTTTCTATTTCTCAAACTTAAAAATCATAATTGCTATAAATCGAAGTATTTGAAAACACCTTTGCTTGTTTGATTGGCTAACAATTTATTAGAATAAAAGTCTGAAGAGAAGAATAAAACATAATTGTAATGCCTGAGGCCTTTTAAAAGATGTTGAGAAATTTTCTTACATACCAGATAGTATCACTGAAGGAAACTACATGGGTATATTTTGACTTCATTTCTGTTTCTCTTGCCCTGAAATTCTCTACCACATTGAGTTAGGCAGAAAATATCTAATGTCTTCAATGAGCTCTTAAGGGTTGATGAGAAAATGAAGAAAATCTTGACAATATTTTGAACTGTTTTGAAAGAACTCCCTGCAATTCTGTCCATAGCAAACTTTGCCATGTGCTGACAGTAGGGATAAGGCAATTGCCACAATTACTCCTTGTAAACCTCAGCCAGTTTCTAAATTTTAGTTTCTGAATTTTAATTCCATGTAAAAAGCCTGCAAGGTCAAGCAAGAGCTGTGCTTCTCCACTTTCCCTTTCTCCTTGTTCTCAATGGTTCTCTGTGAACTCACACCTCTAAAGATTACTTTCCGTGACCCAACTCCTCTCCAGCATCCCAATTGAAAGGGGCACATAAATTGGGTTCCCCCAAATTAGGAGAATCCTACATGCAGTCTTCCCTGCTTAACTTCTCCAACAAAGATCTTTATGAATATGGAGATTATGTCAGACCAAGGAGGCCAATCAAGGGTTGTATGTAGAAATAGGATTTGACTTTGAGTGTTACAGAGGGAAAGCCCAGTTTCCTGTGAAGCACTAGCTGATCCTGCTTTCGTAGTTAAAACTTTAGTGTAAGTTAAAAAAAGCACTCGGGGGTAACTCCCTGCCACAAAAGTTGGGCACACAGCCAGGGCACTGTGCTATTAGCCTCGGTGTGGGCCAAGATACCCAGAACACACGAGTCATCATTTTTCATCCAACAATGGGGGTGTCCTGCTGAAATCTAAAATAGAAGAAACAGGTCTACCAATGTCTACAAGCAAGGAAGTTAACTTTTTTTTCCCCAGAAGAATGTTTTCATCTTTCATAAAGCATTATGGTCACTAGATAAATGTAATCAAGCTAAGGTCTATGATATGCTTCCTTTTTTTCCCCCTTTGT